AGTTCATCATTTTAGCCTAGTTTATATGATTGAATTTCAAATTTTAAATGTCAGATACTAGATTTTTTGTGTATTACAATATTGAATAGATTCCATTTTCGGGAACTGAATTAAAATTTCCCTAAAATTAATGTGGTATATATTTTTTTGGGGGGTTGCGGTAAATTAAATTAGGAATTAATAAANTTGGGGGGTTGCGGTAAATTAAATTAGGAATTAATAAACTAAATACTATTTTACGTTAAGTACTAATCTGCGTAATACAATTTTAATAACTTAATAATAATTGTAATTATAATAGTTCTATTCTTTTTAATTACAAAATTTAATGGACATAAAAAGAAAACAACGTGTATTTATTTCAATATATTTATTATTAACATAAATGTAAAATAAAAATAATTTTACTAATTACATATAAGGTATAAGATTAAGTTTGGAGAACTCGCATGTAGGGANATATAAGGTATAAGATTAAGTTTAGAGAACTCGCATGTAGTCCCTACTCTAGGTATTTATTACCAAACTAGTTGACCCGAGATGAGATTTTTTCTGATACTATTATCGTTATTGTTGTAAAAAAAATGCTAATTAACAACAATAATTTTCATATTAATAAATAAAGATCAATTCATTTTTTTACCGTTTTATCTTTTTTAGGTACTTTCGTACCCACACCCCGAAAGAAAAAATTATTTTAATCATTAATCCACTTCTACAACCCCTTACATTGATTTCATTGACACCTGTTTTTATATAAAAATATATACGTTTCAAGACATTTATAAAGTTTATTAATGTACATCAATGATAACAAAATATTCGTGTTTGTTATTCTTTACAATAAATAATGGTTGTTTTTATAATTAAGTTTTATACACTGGACTACAAGGAACTTTTTTTAATGATACATAAAATGATCACAACTATTATCTACTTAAAGAATTTACCTTCTAAAGTTGAAAAAAGTTTCAATTTATCAATTAAAAAGTTACTTAGTCCACATTCTCCATATAGATAATTAAAATCATTAATTTTTAATATTTTCAAAGTATTTATTTTCGAATTAGGTTTGATAGGTTTCAACTACAAAATTAAATAATTGTACTTCATAATATATTAATTTTTTAACTTTATTTGTCTGTGATACTAACAGTCTATAATTTCCAAATGTTTACATGATGGGTCAATGAGAAATCGTCCAGAAGTGTTTGCACGACCACCTAATTTTTTTCTTAAATTTTGATGGTTTTATTATTTATGCTATATTTGATTAAAACAATTTTTTATTATGACCTTCCCATTTGTATGACTATTTTAACGTAAAAAATGTTAAAAAACACAAATTATTCAATATTAACTCAATCAAATTAAAATTTTAGAATTGACCTTGTTACGTCGCTATTTAGGGGTTGAACCTAAATGCCTAAATTANTGAACCTAAATGCCCGTCAACAGTATTCTTAGGGACCAACGAGGGATAGCTGGCTAGGCTATATCTACCTTAGGTACTGGGGTTTCCTATTTAATTTATATTGCCTTAGAGAAACTACCAAGGGTCGCACTACAATATTTATATATAACACTCTTGGTTAACAGCGGTATAAATATTTATTAATATAACCTGCTGGACACCTAGAGATGATATAATCCAACAGGGAGATATCGAAGACACACACACTATTTACGTGGTAGGTAAGTAAGGTTAAATATAAGACAAGACTAATGGTCGCGATGATGGTAAAGAGTCAACTACCATTTTGGATCTTAGTATTATGGCACAGTGGCCGTGAATTTCAAAAGTATTTATGTGTGCAGTCTGCCCTCCTGTAGTAATACATGTGTCACTGTGTCAACGATATAAGCCTAGTCAGCATTACAATAATAATATGAGATATGACCACATAATATGATCGTATCAACCTTATTATAACTTAAAGTTTACATTAAAAAAATATTTATGTGAAATTCCATACGCTAATGACTTTCTAAAAATGGCGCTTTCTTTATGAAAACTGGCGTTTTTGAGCTCAATTAAAAACATTAAGAAGTTATTATTTTATAGTGATTTTCAAATGTGGTACAATACAATGTAACTATTATAAATATTATAATTATTTAATTCATTATATAGAAACTTTTCTGTGAAAATTGTGTATAGGTTTTATAGCTTGTATCGTGGATATTATTAATTTTAAATCTAATACTTTGACGATGGTTGTCTTTATAGATATCTTAATGGATAATATCATTTTTATATGCCATTGTTATTGACTCAGTCTGTTATGAGATGGTCGTACAACTACTTCTGGATAATTTCGCATGGATTGACCCTAATGTACACGATCGATTTAATAAAATTTTTACTTATTACTTTTATTTTGTAAAATGTGTATGGTATTTATAGATTTTGAGAAAGCGTATGACAGAGTACCGAGAGAGGTTTTAAAAGCACATTCGCGTTTGATCTCGGTAAGAGACATTTTGTCTAATGTTTTTGCCATTTCCCAATTTAGTGTAAATAGAAGTGG